GGACGAGACATGCACCCGTAATTGGTAATTGCACGGTAATTAAGTGGCGAGAGCCGCGTTGAAGGCACGTTTTTATCGTTGCAATTTCGACAATGGACTAATTATTTATTAATTCCCAAATATGCGTATTAGAAAAATGTAAAAATATTCATATAAATATATTTTTAAATATTCATAAAGAAAAAAATTTATAAATTTTTATTAATTTTGGAATGGCTTTATACTTTGCATTAGCCAACATATATTATCACGACTGATTGTAAAAATATCGATTTTATATGCAGTAAAGAAACATTAAATGCAAATTGACTTCAAATTCTTAATATTCGGAAAATCTGCACCGACAGGATAATCAGAAATTTCTGAATAATCAGATATTTCCTATATCATATTGCTATCATCATGTATGATAAATAAAAATTTTGTGGCAGACCTTCCGAAGATTGTAATCGTGAAAATGTGAGATCTTTTCTTTCGTCGCATCACACGGCGGTCACATCGATTGCACTTAGGAGAGCCACATTTCATGGTTCTTCGCTCTCTTTCACCCTTCGCTTCCGGTTTACCCGAGTAAAAGCGCGTGTAGCTCATTCGGAAGAATTTAAGGGATCGATAATAATCTTGGTGCTCTCGGTGTGTACTGAGCGTGTGTCGGTGTGTAAGTGGAGACAGTAGTGTACCTGGTTGCCGTCGTAGGTCCAGGATCCGAACTTCATGTCACAGTGTTGGTCGTCAAAGGGGAACCAAGTGATGTCTATCTTGCATGTGCTCTTGAAGATGCCCGGAGGGACGTACAGGCAACTGCCGTTATGCGTGACCACCACGTTTGTTTGGTACGTCCCGTCGAAACCCTCATCCGCACTAACGTTTCATATCATTCCATTAATTACCCTCGTCAGTCGTCAATCGTGATCGTTTCGCGGCCGGTTTAATAGCGCGTCTCTTTAATCACCGCATGATAGAGCGGGGCCGTCAGTTCTTATTGCCGCCGGCAAGATCTCGCACGAAGAATATTGACAAACGGAGAATATCACGCGAATGTCGCGCTTGTCCGAAAGTAAGGAGATGGATGGGATACTTGAAGCATGAGAGAATTTCTCCGGTCTAATTACATTTTCTTGTGACACTGTAATATCCATTAGAAACACTGTCTTACACGAAAAAATTAACAGATTCAAGATTAAGAAAGATTAGAATTACGCAATTAGAAATGCTGAGATTACCGATCATTATTGTCTCACTTTACGAAAGCGTTTCTTTATGCATGTTATGGCTTTTACTTTCGCCACTTTTATCTAAATTATAATATTCGACTGTATCTTTCATAGAACGTTCTAAATGGATAATAAGATAAGAATCACGAAGGTGAAGGAGAACGATAAAAGGACACTCGCGAATGTTATTCATGAAAATGCAAACCATTTAGGACCGCTTTTACGATGGGCTCTTTAAGCGCGACCCGGAATTGCGATGAAAAAGAGAAAGGATGAAAGGGAAGAGAAAGAGAACGAGAAAGGACACTGCGAGCCAGGTCGTGTTAATCCCTTAAGAATAATTCGAATCGGCTACTTAAACAACGTTAAGGGATAAAAGTGAATGTCTGTGCTGGCCCGGGAGTCTGCGCGCGCGAATTTTTATGACATATTTATTTAGCGCAGCGGCTTATTAAGTTTTCGGATGTCGTATGATAGAATGGGAAGCGCGAGGACTAGGCGAAAAGGATATTTTTATTCCTCTGGGAGACGTGCTAATAAATAGCTGCGGTATCCTTTACGTTGTCACGCAAACTATACAGCATAGGTAAATCGAATATTAGATGACCTGCGAGACAACCTGTAGCAATTGATACTCGCGAAGGTACTCGTGAAAGCAATGTGTTGGCATCGTTAATGTTCTCTCAGAGTCGTTACGAGAAAGCGGTATCAGTATTGTCGAAGGTTTTGAGGATGTCATTCTCGCCAATCGAAAATCGATGCCGTAGTATCATTAAAGCCCTTGCGCTTCTAGCTACTTTTACACGTTATCGCGAAATGGAAAACGAAGGGGATAAGACAGAACGATGGGAGAGTGGCGGGAAAAGGGAGCGCTTCGGTGATTCTCCCTTTGGAGAATAAAGTTAATTAATTTCATCGGAGAATTGAATTTTCAACACCACTGTATTAATCGCTATCTTGTGTCGTGATCTTCGTACGTGATCTTGCGGCGTTCCGTCCGTTTTATTCGCGACGAGATATTAAATGCGGTCCTGTCGGTTTTGTATGTTTTGCCATTTGTCCTAGATCACGGAACTGAGTGACGTTTCTCTTTTGACGTCGATTAACGCGTGTTTTAATCGAATTCGTCCGCGCGCGACCCAATATCAGGGAAAATAGGCTTATGAGATCGATTGGTCTAAAAAAACCGGTCGAACGCTCTCTCTAATGTACGTTCATTCCGGCGCGTTATGGATAGCGGCATTGTCGTCGTTGTTGTGTGGCTAATGAAGACTAACGAGAAACGGGATTTCGCCCAAAAAGTGTGTCCGACTAATTAATCTCGTTCGTGCACGACGGAACGAAACCGTGTTGCAGCGAGTACCGGGCATTGGATTTTGTCGATCGTTGTTCCTCTTTTACGGGGAACTTCGTTATCCCGTTGCCGCATTTGTTTCTGGATGTATATGAGGAACGCGCGATATGCTGTAATACAACTACTACAGACGGCGTTTCGTGGCCATTATTGCGATGATATGTTGTTATGCGAATGTTAATTAGTTACGAAGAAAATATTACGACTACAGCAATTTATAACAGAATCGTGAGAAACTGCACACGTGGCACCCAACATTATCGGCGACCTGGTCAATAGAATTCGCGATAACGACACGGAATTTAATGATCGAATTGTAAGGGGCTAATTAACGACATCGAGGGACGCATTAATATATAGGTTAATGGCGATCTTCTGACTGGATTATCGCGGAAATGACAGATCGTTTCCGGCACATTATTGACAGGAGTGTCAATTATATCGAGCTACGACAACACGATCTCGATTTATCTCCGATATGATTTCATAGAATTTTCTTGAACGATAAAGGTGAAAGTTCTTTTATTTTTCATCCCCTTAGAAATGATGCACACGCTGTTTGCTGAATGGAAATTTAATGAAGTACGGTAAGTAATATACGTCAGCTCGCTTCCATTATCACTGACGAGGAATACGTTGTATCAGGAAAGTTGCGACACTCTTGATGTAACTTAACGTAATCCCGTGTAATGGAAGTTACAATTTAGCTCGACATTGCATTGCACTCGATACCGCGCCATCATAAACTTTCCGTAAATTTGCGAAAGTTTTCGTTAATATCCCTCAGCCCTATGACAACAGTGGCCGCAAAAGTTTCCGCTCGAAGAGAAATCAAGTACCTAACGATTGTTCGACGTTAAGTACTTGCCCAGGATACTCGTAGGACGGTTAAGAATGTAAGGAAGTTCTGTGCATGTCACAAACTGTCGTTACGCGAAATCTTTTCAACGTGTTGGTACGTATTGGTTAGTACATTGTGAAACGATGCGGAAGATTATTCAACACGAGCTAAGACTGCATTACGCATATTCAAAATAGTAAAAAAATTACAAAAAAATTACAAATTATTTTAGATCATAAAAATCCTTAAAGCTAAAAAAATTTTGTTTCTTATATAAGTACTTTAAGTATTTAAGATAATTTATATAAAGTTTCATTGCAATGCAGAGATTAGTTGTTCTGTAAATAAATAAAATTATTTGTTTATGGAACAATTAATCTCTGCATCGCAATAAAATTTTGCATAAATCATTTTAAATACTTAAAGTATTTATATAAAAAACAAAAAAAAAAACAGTTAAAATCAGTATTATTTTTAAAATTTTAATACTATGACAATTTAAAATAATAACAAATAAAATTAATAAAAATTAATAAACACAACTTTTATACGTATATAGTTTATTTAAAATATAAATATCACATTTGTAAAAATGAATATCATACATCCTTAAAATATATGCCACGATATTCTGTACAAGTTGTAAGTTGCGTAAAACAAAATTTTTCCAGTTAGCAGATAAATCACGATAATTCTAACTTGTTCAAACATAGATATATCACACTGATCTAGCATCTTTGATCAGCAGAAAACACGATATCGCAACAAATAAGATAAGATAAGTCAAGAAGAGAAGACCAAGAATATAATACTATCCTTCCGTGGTGGCACAACATAAATGAGATGGATTTTATTATTATTCAAGATAGTCGGCGCACGATAATCAGGGGGTGCACATATCTCGACGAGTTTATCTGGAGCTTAGAGCCATCTGAAAATCCGATGGAACAGTGAGCAGGAAAGCCACGCGAAGGTAAGAAATGGCAAAAGAATAGTCAGGCTCTATCTCACCAATGTGATGTTACGGACGTAACTTGTGAGAGGTTTATGTACTCTATTCGATTCTCTAAGCAAGCACCTCTGCCGGGTAACGGCAAATGTTTGTATGAAAAGTCCGATCTTCAACGCCTCAATTTCCGAATGGAAAGAACTTCTGTGTGAATTGGACCTTCGAAATAACAATAGTGGAGGTGAATTGCGCAGGGCGAATAAGAACCGTCGAATGTCGCTCCAATGTTCGGGCTACTAGAGGACAGAAGCTAAGAAAAATAGTGGTTTTAATGAGGACTTAAATTTACGCTTTTGGTGAATTAAAGCTTGAGAGAGTCAAAGAAAAACTTTGTTCTTCAAAGCTTTAATTAAATGCTGATAGAAATTTAAGTTAATCTTTTGGTATCAAAGTGGAATTTTATTGATTTTGTCAATTGTTGTCTTAATGTACGTTAAAGGAATAGTTTAATTAACGATAGTTACTTTTACAAGTTGTAACTTCAAAGTTATTTGATTAATACAATTATCACAAGGGGCGAAAGGTTTAATTAAAAAATTTATTGTCAATATGATTAATGTTAAATATTAGAAATTATTATATCTCGAAATATTAATTAAAAAAATCAATTTTATTATAAATATTACGAATAAAATGGTTTGCTAAGTACATCTAAAATAAAGTTACGTACTAACACTATTTATGCTTATATAGACTACTTGATGTTACAAATCCTTCGAAGTATTTTTTTGATCGGTGAATTAGTAAATTCTTTCTCCCAATTGATCAATCAAATGCATCGAGCATCAAGTGGACCGCACCTATAGTCATACGTTAACGCCAGAAGCGATTACATATCGACTGTGATTGACTGGCGATAATCAAAGTGCGGGCGAGTAAATAAAACAGCAATTGACATGGATCAGAATAGTAGAGCGGAAAGGATATTCGGCGATGGGCCTCGAGAATGAAACACGGTCTAGCGGGATTAAAGGACAATGTTTATCGAACCGTTCTAGCTTCCCCTTTCTTTTGCAAGCTCTATCCTCCAATTGCATCGGTATGCGTCAAAGTCCACGCGTTGCCACGTTCATGAATTCTGAGGGGCGTTTTCGTCGATTGTTCCACGTCGAACAAAGGCGGATCCCACTGCGGTACCTATTGTCAGGTTTTCGGGATAAATTCTGTTCTCGAGAATCGCTGACCCACCCCCTCGGTTTCTATGTTTCGCCTCTGTGCCTCGTTCCCTCTTCATCCGCAAGTTCTCGCTCACGCAGCACGTCGTCTCTCGTGGGTCGCGATATTCATGAGAGAAGAACGCTCCGGTGTTGTGAGCAACAAGTAAGTCGCGCGCCCTGGATAGTAGGCAGCCACCCTCCTTTTGTTCCACAAGGAACAAGCATCCCGTCCCCTCTTCGATGCACTTGAATGCTAGGTGTATCTTTATATCGGTGGCATGGAGAT